ATCTCAGAGATGGCACTGGGTTGGGCCGGCATGGCTAGGCACTCTGAAAGATTCTCCCTGAGGATCGTGGAGTCACGAGGACTCCAGGTATGGGAGTGTGGCTGGCTTTATTCCAAGCTCTCCCAGGTGGCAGGGGAGAGGCGGGCAAAATCAACTGGGGATGACCAGGTTTGTCTGGATGGTCTGACGGATAGGGATGGTGGGTGGGTGTGATCCCTTGTAGAGGCTGAGGCAGCAGAATGAGCCTCCAATAGCTTCTCTACATAAACCATAAAGAAGTCAACTTTTCTGTGCTACTTTCCTACTTGGCCTTTCTCTCTCCCGTCTAGCTCTGATCTGCCTTGCACGACCCTAAGTCATTTCCCTAAAACAGCATGTGCCTGGCACAGGGGCTCTCAGTGGCTAAGGATGATTGCAGCCCTACAGCTGCCACCACAACTCACTGACCTCTTACTATGTGTCAACCACTGTGTGAAATGCTGTGCTTGCCCTGGGCAAGCTACTCACCTCTTAGTCCTTTGGTTTCCTCATCTGCAAAATGGGGACCATAAGTAGTACATACTTCATAGGGCTGTCGTGAGGACCAAACGAGTTAATGCCTGATAAATCCCTTAAAATAGTTCCCAGCATGAGTGAATATTCAATAAATGTTAACTCTCACTCATGAAATGTTTACTGAGCACCTTGTATATGCCAAGTCCCATATATGCCTTGGGGATGTGACGGTGAGCAAAGTTTTCTCGTGTCGCTTGCAGTTAAGTGTCGGAGATGCAATTAAACGTGCACTTACAATGCCGTGGTTTAAATGCTACAATGGGGAGGATTTGGGAGGGCAAGACGTTTGTTTATTTCTTTTTTTGTTTCTATGATTAGAAAGCAAGTTCCATGAGAGCAGACATTCTTTCTCCTGTGTTCACAGCTGTATCCTCAATGCCTAGGAAGAACTTGGCCCTCAGTAAACATTTGCTAGGTGAATAAATGAATGAATGAATGAAGTGCAATTTTAGCTGCTGCTGTCAATAAAGTTGGGAGTGAAGAGAGAAGAGAGAGTAACTTTCAGATCAGCGCTTATACATTCTGAAGTGATTTTGTTTATTTATTCATTTATCTGTCTAGTGTAAGCTCCCTGACAGCAGAGACCTTTTCTGACTCATTCATCCCAGCACCTAGTCATGGGTTGACAGACTGAATGGATATTTTGACTCCACCTCTGCAGGAGCCAGCTGGATGGCCTTGGTGAAGTTGTTCTCTCATAAAACATGTCTGTTTCATCATCCCTAAAATGGGAACAAATAACTCCCTCACATGGCGTATCGCGAGGTCTGGGGAGAGTGCGTGTGCGACACCCAGCATCCACATGCAGCTCCCGATAGACGTATTTTCTTTTCCCTTCCCATTCTTTGTGCCACTTGGTATCTACTATTGTTAAAGAGACAAGTGGAGGTGGAGAAGGTTCTTGATCATATTTGGTCAGAAATGCTTGAATCCTTCTCCTCGAGAGCTCCCGAGGAAATATATCCATGAAGAAAAAAAGTGCAAAACCAACAGAGGTGAATTGTTATTAGTTGGAATTTTGCCCCACATCTTAAAGTAGAGCTCATGAGGCCTTTGGGGACTCCTCTCTTCTATACTAGGTAGGTCTAAGGAAATTCAAACCCTAACTCAAACGTAAGTCTTGGCTTCTATAAGGTCAACACAGCAGGGAACCCAGAAGGGACCACAAGAGCCACAAGAAGGGAGAGAATTTGCCCCAGGGCTGAGAGTGGAGCTGGCCCAGGCCACTCGTACCAACTATCTCAGGACAAGACCATGAGACTTGGACCCGGCAGCCTCCTGGGAGAGGTGAAGGATGTGAGAGATGAGAAAGATGGTGACCTCCTTTTAACCCTTGTGCAAGCTCCGCCCACTGGGACCGGGCCAATCAGTGTCTTGGAATCTAAGCAACCGGATCAGCTCTCTGCCTCCTTAGAAGTTCAGAAAGGGAATGAGAGAAGCCCTGAGCTCCCCCTACAGGCCAGTGCCGATTATGAGCAGGTGTTTCTTTTTAGGTGGATTTGAAGCACTCCTTTTCCAGCTTTGTGAAGACTCAAGAGGCACAACGGGAAGTGCTTTATGACAGCATCCCCAACCTTTTTGGCACCAGGGACTGTTTTCATGGAAGACAATTTTCGGGATGATTCGAGAGCATTACATTTATTGTGCACTTTATTTCTATTATTATTACATTGTAATATATGATGAAATAATTATACGACTCACCATAGGTTGGGGACCCCTGCCCCATTAATGACACGGAGCAGGGGGATTCTTTTTCTAGGAATTTGATGTGTTCACTTAGTCTCATTGCCCAGGGATGGAGACATTACTGGTTCAGCTGATAATTGAGAGCCCTTTAGTTTTTGTTTTGTGATTTCCAAGCCCTGCTGTTGTTACTAGGGTAGCACCTCAACCTTTGAGCAGGACAGGTGGCTGCCGGGGTCCTTCTGCATGCTGAGAGCACTGCAAGGTCCTGCTGGCCAGAGCAGAACACACCCAGCCTCTCAAACTTGGCCGTCCAGAACTGTGCAAGGGCTGCTAGCACTTCATCTGCCTGACTGCAGAGGGTGGGAATGTCGTGAAAGAAGCTTAGTAGCTCATTAAGAAGATGCAAGGCAATCAAAGCCTGCAGTGACTGAAGATTTTTTTAGGTCAGGCTTATTGAGATCGAGTTTTCATGCAGTAAAATAGACTTTTAAAAATATACAGTAAAATATACCACAGTTGATATATAGACCATTCCAATCACCAAAATAATAATAATAATAATAAAATAAAAAGTTCCTGCATTCTGCCCCTTTATAGTTAATCCCCTTTCCACCTCTAACCCCTTTTAACCACTGATCTGTTTTCTGTCACCATAGTTTTGCCTTTTCCAGAACATCATATAATGGAATCTCGCAGCACGTAGCTCTTTGTGTCTGCCGTCTTTCTCTTAGCATAACGCTTTCAAGGTTCACGGATGCTGTCGCGTGTATCAGTAGCTCATCCCTTCTTATTACTGAAAAGTATTCCATTGTGTGGATGTCTCACACTTCATCTGTTCACACGTTGAACAATATTTGGGTTGATTCCAGTTTGGGGCTATTTTAAGTAAAGTGGCTATAAACCTTCAAGTACAGGTTTTGTGGATGTGTTTTCATTTCATTTAGAAGTGGGATTTCCTAGGGGAGTTCCAGTTTGTTCTCTCCTCACTAACACTTGGTATTGCCCATTTTAATTTTCTAAAATTTTAGCAAATCTAGTATGTATAGGATTATTTTTGAATTTTGAAAAGAACAGTTTCCTTAGGAGAAACACTCATCACTTTAATAGCACGTAAAATAATGTCTACTTATTATGCCCATTTATTTGCTTACTTTTTCATTCATTTTCTGTCTCTGTTACTGGAATATAAGATTAAAGGAGGCACCCGCACCTGCTTCAGTAAATACATGTGGATGGATGGATTAATGAGGGAAGACGTAGGAAGCATTTAGCAAAGTCTAGGTGCCCCGGGGTGGGGAACCTGCAGGTGCAACCTTTTGACGGGATTTGTTCTGTAAAATTTGGATTCATTCGAAAGATCGCACATTTAAGGATCTAGAAAGCCACAGGTTCCCCACCCCTGGCTGGGGTGTCACATCAGCCCTGGGTTGGAATCTATAGCCCATGTTATTAGTCTTGGCGATGTACAATTTAACAGAGAAAGCACCTTTCGGGTGCTGGGGTGAGAAATAGAGCGCTGTGTGCTGAGGTGTAGCTGGGCACCACACTGGCAAAGTAGTAATAATAATAATTCATAAGTTTGTACCGCTTGCTGTGTGCCAGGTGGTACTAAGATCTCTACACAGGTTAATTCATCTGTTCTTCCCAACAGTCCTATAAGGTGAGTGCTATCATTACCTCCAGTTTACAGATAACGAAACGGAAGCACAAAAAGACCGAATAACTTGCCCAAAGTCACACAGCTAAGAAGAGCCAAGGCGGTTTACCTTCCTAAGTCTGTGCCTTTAACCTGTACTTTAACCTGTACTGCCAGGTCAGGAAGGGCATGTCTATCAGTTAGGGAGCCATGTACGCTCCTGTGAGAAGTAGCCCTCAAAATAGAGTGACTTAAACAAGACAGAAATCAGGTTTTTTTCTCAGGTGTCAGCCCAGGGACAAAGTCCAAAGCTGACAGGGTGGACCCATTTTGGGTCCCAGGTGGTCACTTTCAGTTCTCATGGTCTTCCAGCCTGCGGGAAGGGAGAGAGGGGCCAGGGAGGCTCAGGCACATTCCTTTTGAGGGATGACCTGGAGCACATGCATCCCATTGGTTGGCCCTCAGCCCCATGGGTACACCAAGCTGCAAGGGAAGCTGGGAAATGTAGTCTCTCTTTGGGCAGCCATGCTGTCTGCTAAAACTTAAGGGTTCTATTATAAATATTAAAGGGAAGATTGGATATTGGTGGAAAACTCAGTCTCAGCCACAACTTGCAGACTACTCATTGGGCTTTGAACTTTATTCTGTAGGTGATGAGGAATTGGAAAATGGCCTCTAAGCGGGGATGTTTCATGCCCACACTTGGGTTTTTGATACTCCAGAAGCTTGCTTGGCAAATAAGGGGGCAGGAGAGAAATAGGAATAAAGAGGTCTGTTTCATTGATGTGTCACTTTGCTTTGTCATCTCTGGAGTCCTTGCTACAGGCAGGAGCCAGTAGGTTGGTTCTCAGGTGGGCCCAGATGGAGCGTGGGCAGGTGGGGTGAATGTGTGCTGGGGCTGGAAAGGGAGTCATCGTCTGTCTTCATTTCTTCAACGACTATTTATCCAACACCGTGTCTGGGCACAGGGCTCCAGTGATGGTCCCAGCAGGCAGGATGAACAGGTATGGGGAGCTCGTATTCAACGGATATGAGTCTCTGATGACTCCACGCAAGGCAGTGTGAATCCTTAGCATGCCGTGCTGACACTGGCCTCTTTTGTTGTTTCTCTTGAACTTAGGACCCCCGGAGCAAACACAAGTTTAAGATCCACACATACTCCAGCCCCACGTTTTGTGACCACTGCGGGTCACTGCTGTACGGACTCATCCACCAGGGGATGAAATGTGACAGTAAGTACTTTTTCTCTCGGGCAGCCTCTGCTGTTGGCAGAAGGGGTGCTTCCTCATGGTTTGGGGTCCAAGACTGCAACACTTCCCTAGTCCGCGGTGGGGCTGGTGTAGCGGTTACCTATTGCTGTGTAATGATCCTCCCACCCCAAAATGTAGTGGCTTAAAACAATAACCATTTACTTAGCTCATGGCTCTGCAAGGCAGCCCTTTGGGGCGGGGCTGGGCTTAGCTGATGTCGGTGGGGCTTACCACACGTGGGGCCCCAGTGTGGGGACAATGCTCCTGCCTCAAAGACAGGGGTGGGTGGGAGCTTGGCTGGTGCTCAGGTCCCAGGAGGGCATCCCCTTTTTCTCCCCATAACTCATTTCCAGGTTTTGGAATCTACGAACTTATATTTATCATGTAACACGTGCGACATCAACGGGCCAGATCAGTTGACAGACATATTTCATTCACCTTACCCTGGGTCTAAATTTTTTCCTCGTAATTAGTGTGGTGGGCACTGTGGTGAGCCCAGATGCCCGCTGCTGTGAGTTCACAGTGGGTCCCCCTTATGGGGAATTGCCCGCGCGATGTCCCTCTGGGGGGGTGGTTCCTGGCCAACCACTGGCTGGTTCGGGTGTGCAGAGGCCCGGCCCTCTTGTCTCCATTTGGGACGACTGTGAACAGTCACCTTGGCTTCCGTTGCATCCACGTGGTGGGCCAGCTCCTACCGCCAGAGCACCCCTCAAAAGCCTTGTGCAAAACACTCCCTCTCAGCCTCTTTCCAGGAAACCCAACCTATTAGCTGTCCATATTTAAAAATCGGGAGACGTCACATATGAATGGGGATCCCTGCTTATCTTGAGAAATGGGAAACCTTGACCACTTCAGGTGGGCATCCCCGCATGGCTGCACCTGAGTGGGGGCCACTGTGGTCCACCCTTGGCCAAGTCCCCGCTACCCCCCACCCCTGGTTTCAGAGCCTTTGGGGGTGTGCAGGGTGCCTGCTTCAGTCTGCACCCTTGGCCTTCGGTGGGGGACGGACAAGTTCAATGTCAGAGTCGGGGAAGCCCTTCTGATGAGATCCTGGCCAGGCAAGTGGGTCTCAGCTGCCTCAGAGGAGGGGACGGGAGGGGTGGAGTGGATGTCTGTGGCCCCTGGCCTGGGCCAGGCTGAGCTGCTCTCTCTGCCCCTGCAGCCTGCATGATGAACGTGCACAAGCGCTGCGTGATGAACGTCCCCAGCCTCTGCGGCACCGACCACACGGAGCGCCGCGGCCGCATCTACATCCAGGCGCACATCGACAGGGAAGTCCTCATTGTCGTTGGTAGGTGGCCCTGGGGCTCCCGCCTGACTCCTGTGTGCTGAGGAGGAGAGGGCGGTGGAGGTACAGGGGGCTGCAGGAGTTGGGGGGCTCCTTCGACACTGAGCACCCTCAAAGCTGCGTTCTCAGTGCTTCGGGCTGTCTCGAGCCCCGCGAGGGGCCATCCGAGTCCCGTCTTCTCCCCCTTTCTCTTTCCCGCTCTTTCTCTCCGTGTCTTTTGGGGTGTGCAGTTCCATTTCCTTTTTTCAGATAGCAGAGAAGAGAAGCTCGGTTCTTCCCCAAGCTTTCCCAGGGGGGAAACAGAGTCTTGATGATAAACACCAAATTTGGGAGAATATTACAGCCTGGAGAGGAGAAGGGGTGGGGTGTACCTTCCAGGGAGTACCCCGGGGCTTTCCTCGTATTTGAAATATTTCTTTCCTTAACCACATGGTGGCTATGCTGGTGCCTATTAACATTATTCTCTATACTTTTTGCACATCTAAACTATTTCATCGTAATAAGAAAGCGGAATGGTACAGCCTGCTGGAGAGATGCAGTGAGGGGAGGAGAGGAGGGCGTTGTCCACCCGACCCGCTTGGGGTGACACAGGAAGCTCAGGCGTAACTGGGATTCGGCTGCGCTGGCCTGGGGACTGCTCAGCCATAAGCCGCGGTAAAACCTGCACCCCGCTGGCCGGGAATGGAACTAAGACTTTGAAGGAATTCTCTCTCAAATGCTTGTGACAAACTGCTGTAGACGTTATATAACTAATTAATGTGAACAAGGTTTTATGAGTTGGCACCTTAGGAAATTGATCATGGAAGAGATCGATTTTGCCCAAACTGATCGGTTTCTGAGGCCTCAGAATGGTCCAGTATCTCTGATGTGCTGGGCCCTGGGTTGGGAGGGGCTTGAAAGTTGAAAAATATCCCTGTTAAAATGTAATACTTCCTTTAAACTGAGGTTTGTGAAGCCCAGTGAGCCTTTAGAAAAATATGCATTCCATTGCGTCACTTTTTCCTCTAAGTGGCTGTTTGCCTCCCGGTGGGATGCTTGGCCCCCCTCCACCCCCCGCCATCTGACCCCCCAAGAGAATCTTTTGCAGTCACAGGTTCAAGAGAAATGTGTTTTCCCACTGACTAAGCTTCCTGGCACTTGAATTGGCAAAAGTGACACTCTTCTGCCATCTAGTGTCATTCTCTAGGAACGACACCAGCTCAAAAAATGATACTGCAGGTGCCAGCGTTTATGGACCGACCACTGTGGGATGCCCTGTGCTCAGAACCTTACGTGTTATCTCTTGCAGTCCTCACAACAGCATCGCAAAATACCATTATCCTCACTTTAAGAATGAAGTAACCAAGGCTCAGAGAGGGTAGACTCCAAGAGCTCACACCATTAGTAATAATAATGAACAACAGCTGACATTTATTGAGTTTTTAATGTGTCAATCACTGTGCCAAGCACTTGCAGGCAGTATCTTGTTTAAATTTTTCCAGCTGCTCTAACGAGGCAAGTTATTATCGTTCTACTTACCAGGACATACACTTCCTCACGTAGGCTTCTTTGACTCTTAAGTACTAGAGACTGGGTTACCTTTTAGTTTAGTGTAGTTCTCCTTCCCTGCCTTATTCATTCCCTGTGTGGTTTCGCCTGGGTACCTCTTTTGGGCATTCCTTGGGGAGTCTTTGTTCACATGTGGTGCAATGTAAGGTGCCTTCAAGTTCAGGGTCAAAGTCTTCCCCCTTAATCATAGACATGTTCTGGCCTTAGAGGGTCTTGATCACAAGCCAGTGATTCTCAGTCAAGTCAGTCCCAGGACACACTTGTGAATAGGAGGTGCGTTTGTTTCCCAGGGCTGCCATTAAAAAGCACCACAAACTGGGTGGCCTAAAACAACATATTTATTTGCCCAGTGTTCAGGAGGCTAGTGGTCTGAAATCAAGGTGTCGGCAGGGTGGGTTCCATCTGGAGCCTGTGAGAGAGTCTGCCCCGTGCCTCTGTCCTGGCTTCCGGGGGTTGCTGGAAATCTCTGGTGTTCCTTGGCTTGGAGATGCATCTCTTCAATCTCTTCAATCTCTGCCCCCATCATCCCAGACGTTCTTCACTATGTGTCTCTGTGTCCAAATTTCCTCTTCCTAGTAGGACACCGGTCACTGGATTAGGGCCCACCTAGTATGACCCCATCTTAACTTGATTACATCTGTAAAAACCCTGTGCCCAAATAAGGTCACATCCACAGGTACTAAGGTTAGGACACAATTCAACCTATAATGGAGGGGGAGGGAGGAAAGTTGGGGTGCCTTAAAGTTGGGGGCAGAATATCTGCATGCTTAGGGCTCTGATAGCATTAATTAAATAGCTACCAGCATTTTAATAGCACTTTATGCTTTTCCAAGTGCTCGGATATTGGGTCATCCCGTGGGGGTGGTGTTATTGCCATCATAGGGAAGGGGACATTAAGACTCAGCAAGGCTGGTCACGCTGACCAATGGCCACATGCAGAGCAGGAAGGAGCACCTGAGCCTCCAAATCCATGTCATGGTGTCCTGCAATGGCCCCTTCATCATGCTGGGCACAGTCCTCTCTCAGCATGGGCTTGTTGATTGATGATAGAAGAGCCTGATGCTTTGGCCACGTCCTCTAAAAATAGGGCCAGAATGGGGATCTTTGCTCAAGTGATTTATTTAGCTGCTCACAGGGAAAAGAGGAATGAAGGAAGCAGGATAGGGCAGGGGAAGAGCTCAGCAAGGGTGTGGTCTCCGTGGAAGCGCACTTCAGCCTGGCCCGGAGAGGACCTCCGGGCCATGCACTGTGGCGGAGTCAGTCCCACCTTGAAGTGTGGGGGCTGGTCTGTCATGCTCTAGGTCAGTCAGTGCTCTGACTTATGTCTTATGCCCTGCCCTCCAATGTGATGGTATTTGGAGATGGGGCCTTTGGGAGGTAATCAGGGTTGGAAGAGGTGGGGCCCTCATTTTGGGATTAGTGGCGGTATAAGAGGAGGAAGAGAGAGATCACTTTCTCTCCACGGGGTAAGGACACAGCAAGAAGGCAGTCATCTGCAAGCTAGGAAGCCGGTTATTACTAGGAATTGAAGCTGCCCGCACCTTTGTCTTAGATTTCCCAGTCTCCAGAACTATGGAAAAGTAATGTCTGTTGTTTGAGCCACCCAGTCTGTGGTTTTCTGTTACGGCAGCCCGAGCTGCCTGATATAGCTGCTGGGGATGGAAGTGGGAAGGTAGAGTGACCTCCCAGGCTTGGTGGCTTCTGTGCAGCTGAGGGCAGTTATCTGGACATGGGGCAGCTGTGAGTCATTCACAGCCAAGACTCATCGCGACCAGGGGCAGGTGCATTGGCCGGTGTGGAGGGAGCTAGCCAGGGTCCCACAGCATCCAGGACACCTGGGTCTCCCTTGGTCTCCCCAGCGTCCTTCTGGTTTCATTGTTAGACTCCAGGCCCCTCCTCCTTGGTCTTGGCCAGACATATCAGAGAGCAGAGAACACTAAAGGTTTCATGGGGCCCTTCCCAGCAGTGCCAGACCAGACGTGGCGTTGGGGTGTTTGCTGAATTGCCCCACCTGATCCGGACCCAGGAAGCATGCGTGGTGTCAGGTCTGTCCCCTCACCGCCAGCCCAGGACAAGGCTATTTGCTCTGAATGCCACATGCTCTTTGGAAATCCAAGCATCTTCAGAGGCGGAAGGTTTCCTGTCTCCCTCGGCTACTGAAATCCAGGTTGTATATCTGCTCTTTCGGTTCTTGCAGGTCAACATCAGAATGAATCTGATCAGTTCTCCTTCCTTAAAAGCCCCTCAATGGTTTCCCGCTGTCTTTAGGACAGACTCCATCTAACATGGTCGTCTCATCCTTTAGTCTCTGTCTCCTCCCCCTTTCCTCTAACCCCCATCTTCTCCAGGCTGCCACACCCTTTAGGACATCTGTGTATTCTGTTCCCTCCGTTGGAATGTTTGTCTGTCTCTGCTGCCTTCTCTTCTTCCAGCAGTCAACTCTTCCCCTCGATCTTGGCTCATTTTCACCATCAGACTCCCTGCCGGGACACAGGTACCTCTAGAATTTATTCACAGCCTCTCCCCAATCATTAATTAACTAATTTATCAATATTAATTGAGTTTCTACTGTTTGTCGAGCATATTCTAAACCCTTGGGATACAGTAGAGGACAAGACAAGCCTTTTGTCTGGATAGATGTCACACCTGGGGTCTTGCCTGGGACCCTCGGATATTTTCTCAGTTTTCTTGCTTTTATTAGCCATGGAGACTCTCCTTCTTGTCAGGGTAAAAGTCACTGCCCTTCAAGGTTTTTATCGAGACAGTTGGTAGCCACAAATCCCTTTTTAAAATATGATCTCTTCTTTAACTCTCTCAGCGTTTGGGTGTTTGGAACAGAGTCAGAGTGACCTTAAACTTCCACTGAGCTGTCCCTCTGCTTGAAAGGGAAATAGAAGAGTGAACAAAAAGGGAAATGTAATGAGGAAAAAATCTAGATAGATTAATACTTCAAAATATTTCCCAGCCACGCATCAATGGTGGGGATAAAAGTGCTCATAAACTAGACCGCTAGGGCCCACTAGGGGGCAGTCTCTGTCTTCCCAGCCCTTCCTCCCGGGACGATCTTTCTCAAGAGACGCCCCAGTTTGTAAAACGGCATCGCTGTCACCGTCCATAATGGAAGGTGCTGCAGAGAACGGCTGGCTCAAAAAAGGGTCACTTCTCCAGACCCCACACAGAGCAGGGACGAAACCCGGTTCTCCTGCATCTCCCCTCCCTCTCACATTACTGGCTTGTCATTTTTCCCCCCAAAGCTTTATTATCAAAAATTTCCAACATACAGCAGTGTTGAAAGAATTTTACAGTGAAGACTCATGTATCCACCACCTAAATTCTACCATTAACATTGACTACACTTGCTTAATCACACATCCATGCGTCTTGCTATCCATCCATCCATCTCTCTTACTTTAGACACATCTCAAAGTAAACTGCAGGTATCAATTCAATTCCCC